AATAAATAATTTTTATCACTTGCTGTTTTTCTGTAAAGTTGATAATCCTTTAATAAAAAATTATTGAAAACCAATTCAGCGATTTTTAGTAATTAATGTCATTAATATCTTGTTAACTGTTGCAAAAATTGTAAAATGGTAGAGGACTTTTTGACTCAGTTTAGTTCGCTCTATCTCTATGCGAGAGTTTTATCGTTACTTATTAAACACCCTGTATATTAATTAATTATATATATATAGGATGTTTCTTCTAACTTGATTATCTAAAATATTTCTGTTGGTTTTAATGATACGAGAAAATACTAAAAGAGGAAATTGTTCGATTCTAAGGAGCACATTATAATTACCAAAAAAATTTTTCTCAAATCATATTTTTTAAAATTTCGAGGTTACTTCTACTTTTTTAATTCTATGATTTTTTTTTACACTGTATGATTTTTATAATTCTGAATATAAAAATATTTACGATGATATAAAAAACCAATAGTTTTAACGAGATATTTTACACTTTATTCTGGTACATATTGACATAAAATGTTAAATAATTCGTAAACTAATAACTTTTTGATAATCGTACCTTAATACTTTTATAAACAGAATAATAAAATGAATCAATTGATGGAAAGAAAACACAGTTGCTTATTTAAAAAATTATCCATTTTACATACATATTTTTTTAAAGCAACTAAGTATTTTCTTTTCAATTGATTCATTTTATTATTCTGTTTGTAAAAGTATTAAGATACGATTATAAAAAAATTAATAATTTTTTTATAATCATAAAACAAACATTTTATATCAATATATGCCAGAATAAAGTATAAAATATCTAATAAATTATTGGTTTTTTTATATCACTATCTTAATACTTTTATATGCAGAATAATTAGAACAATCATGTTTTGTAAAAACAATTATACAATTACATTTAAAAAACTAGAGATAACTTTGAAATCTCAAAAAATGTGACCTTGAGAAAAATTTTTTGGTGGTCATCATAATATGTGCCCCATCGAATCGAACAACTTTCTCCTTTGACATTTTCTCGTATCATTAAAAACAACGGAGATATTTTAAATGATCAAGTTAGAGAAAACATCCTGTATATTAAGTATATATGTATAAAAATTTATATATCTATTTTTTAAATTTTATTTTATACGAAAAAAGTATCGTTATATATGTATGTATCATTAATTTTATTGATAGTAGAGAAGAGATGAGGGAGAGGAAGAAACAAAAAATGAAATAAGATAGAAGAGATAGAGAATTAGTAACTTTAAACAAAAAAAGAATAAATACGAGTACTACCAGATTTCAACCAACCGAGAAAATGCGCATAGAAACCGCTGTTTACACGTGCATAAACGCTGGGTGGCACTTAAGATGTCGTTTAAACACAGACAGGAAACACGTGAAGACACTGACACGTAAATATTTTGTTCTACTTGCTCCCGAATATCAGAAGTACAAGATAGTATATCCACATGGTAACATTTGTTAATGACGTAACTTGCGATGCTCATTGTCAGTTGAATCTTTTCAAGACATTGTTACAAATATTTACAGAAAAATTCTGTTTAATATTCAAATATAATTAATCAATACTGTCTGATAATCTAATTTTCGTGAAAATATTATACTATTAGACTTGCGAAAAAATAATTGGATATAATTGGAAAATTACTCAAATCGAATATTATATTAGGTTGTTCGGAAAGTAATTTCGTTTTTTTCCCAACAAAGGACTTATTATATTTTTTCACAGCCAACTTCACACTTAAGCCGCATAATCATTATATATTTTGACAGCTGATATAGCAAGGCTTGCTTGTGAAAAAAGTTCGATTGATTCTACGCAGTAGTTTTTGGTTGGTGCCCTATCAAATATGAAAGTGAAAAGCAGCATTTTCGGCATATTTTACTTTTTTACTATCGAAAAGGTAAAAATGCTGTTCAAGCAAGAAAAAAATTATCCGATGTGTATGGAGAAGATGTATTGACAGAACGCCAGTGCCAAAACTGGTTTGCAAAATTTCGATCCGGCAATTTTGATGTTGAAGATGCACCACGTTCTGGAAGGCCAGTTGAAGCTGATGAAGACACAATAAAGGCATTAATTGATGCAAACCGGCGAATAACAACTCGTGAGATCGCTGAGAGATTAAATTTATCGAATTCGACCGTTCATGATCATTTGAAACGCGTCTGATTGAAAATCGTCTTTCATTTTCATAAGAAAAAACGGAATTACTTTCCGAACAACCTAATACATTTTTTATGTATTATACATAGTTTGTTTCACTAATTCAATTCACTAGTATTTTCCCACAAGGGTAGTTTGTTAAGAAACGAACTAACTAAAATTTGTACAATCTTAAACAGTTATAAACGATGCTTTAAATAATAAACTTGTTTCGACTTTATTTTTAATGAAAAAGATTATTCTCTACGATTATGAAAATATCCAATACTTCTGCGATACAGTATGTAAAATATTAAATTTATCTAATAATAATACAAATTTTGAGCAAATTGAGCAATATTAAACTTAATTTATTATAATTTACCTTTTGATATGGGGCGTAATGGTGCCGGCCGATATAAAGTTCCTAAACTTTCCATTAGCCCAGTATAAGACGTAGATGTGGTACCCTCAGTCGAACGAGCATGCGGGAATGAAATGCAAGTTCTGACAGTTTCGCATTGCTCGCAACTTTCGATGCAGGGACAACGTATTGGTGGGAGTTGTATTGGAAGTGGCTTAAGAATATCTATATCAACGCATCAACTTCGGTAAATTAAAACTTCTATAAGATATATAAATAATAATATATATATATATATATATTATTTAATGATAATAATATAGAACTTTATTACTGTTACAAAGAAATATTAAAACTAAAAACTACAACTTTTATTTAAAAATATGTTTAAGAAAAAGTTATTATATATATAGGTTCGATTAAAAGAAGACGTAATTGATGCATAAATTATTCAAAAAAATTTGTGAATAAATTATGTAAGTTAGTTATAATAATTATATTAAAAGTGAACAATTTCATATAACAATTGTAAATTATAATTTTAAGTAAGTAGTATAAATCTTCACCTATTTTTCTTGTGGAAATTTCATTCGATAATATGCGATCCATACCAAATTTTAACTGTCTTGAATAATTAGAATTATCCATGTTGAAAGCATTAACATCATTCATAGTCTCTTCCAACTTGCTCAAAAATTTGCACGGTATCTGCGTTAATTGCATTTATAACATCTTAATCTGCGTTTATATTTTATGCCCGTATTTTTTATATAAAGTATAAATTTACACAAAAATTTATTATTAAAAATAACATAAAATGAATTCTAGTAATGTTTGTCAGCTAATATAACTTATATTTCACTATACACTTTAATTCACTTTCTTTAATCACTCTTTAAATAACACTATTTTTTTAAATGCACACAGTTATGTTAAATATTGATTTAATAGAAATAAATTTGAGAAAGAAAAGACGTTAAATTAATTTATTAGTAAACAATTATCACTTTTCCCGTAAAAAATATTTGAGAGAATTATAGAAGAGCATAAAAGTGAATGAGTGAATGAAACTCTGCCATGTCGAGAAATTTCTGGCTGAAAAAATTACCACCGCCAGTTGTGATTTCGCTGGATTAACTGGATTGGTCCACGAAAATACTGGTAGGCGGGACTATAAGAAGATTGGTCTGGTCAAAATGATGAGTCGGATGCTGCGGATATAAATTAAGCTAAAGTAATATTCTCCGTGAGAGATGCTTTGAAAAGATGAAAAATAAAAATTATGGCAATGGTAATAAAAACAAATTGTCTTTAATGTACGTTAAACTGTTGATTTTATATAATTGATTGTATAAATAAAATCTGTGTGTGTGTGTGTGTGGGTGTGGGTGTGGGTGTGGGTGTG